TTAGTGTTGGCCTTTATAGCTTAATTTGTGGGTAAAGTCTGTGGTGAGGGTAAAGCCTGTTGTCTGGTGGTTTCTTGCCCTCACTCAATCTCTCTATATATTTGTGTATTGTGTGATTCTCCTCATGATGAAATATACAAACATTCATTCAAAATCAATAGTATTTTTTGTCAAGTAAATATTTTTTAGTTGATTGTGGATTTCCATATCGACGCCAAGTTGTGGCTTTGTGTTGAGGTGTTAGATATCATCTCCAAGAGTTTGCTGGTCAAATTTGTGACCGTGCAAACGTAGTTGAGTTGTTCAGTTTTCGTCATGCTTCCTTGAGGAATGTAATTGAGAGGATATTTGGTATATGAAAATTACGATTCACAATTTCTAAGTCCACACCTCTATTCCCATAACGGAGCTAGTGTTAGCTTGTGCATGACTATATAGGGGCGGACGCACCAAAGGACAAGAGGGGTCAATTGACCCAATGGCAGCCCTGAGTTTGGCTTGGAGGTCCCTGGTTTTCCTTGGTAGTCTAGGCAAAACAATGTCGCTTTGTTGCTCTATAAGGCGTATCTAAGCGAGGAAGAAGAAGATCAAACTACGCGTGTTCTTTTTTTTTCTTTTTCTTTCTAAGGTTTTCTTTAACAAAGCAACGCCGTTCATTCACTCTTATTCTTAATATGAGTGGAATGCATATTTTTTAGGCAGTCCGGATGAATTGGTCTTTTAACACGCTATCCACTATATGACTGTAAAAAGAAAGCAGAAAAAGGAACGTTGCCATTATTTTAAAGGAAACGTTGCGTTTTATGAGAAACAAAATGTTTTATTTTATTTTATTTTATTTACCATGCAGACCTAGTTAGCTATCTAATTGGGTGAATGAATTCAGTGCTTCTTTTGATGTTGAATATTGTTAACAGTATAAGGGAGAAGAATTGAGACTGAAGGAAGAAGATGAATATTGAAGAAGAACTCAGGGAAGAAGAGATAATTTGCTTTCTTTGATTTTCAATCGTATTCACAATTACAGAGAGATGTTGTTTTTATATCAGATGTTTAGCCGATAACTAATGCTTAACAAACTAACTAATTACAGTTGTGACATGTGAGCCACACGTGCCAACACTAACAAACTCTTAGCTGTGGCATGGATAATACCGGAGAAATAGATGCTGGAAGCCTCTTAAAAGGATGACAAGTTTCATTATGGATAACATGCCTAGATATCACCAATTTGCCTGTGAAAGGATTATAACAAATGACACCTTTATAACCTGGTGCATATCCAAGAAAAACACATTGAGCTGTGCGAGATTGAAGCTTATGCTCAGTATAAGGTCTCAAATATGGATAAATTGCAGTGCCAAACATCTTAACATGTGTGATATCAGGAACCAAGCCAAAAAGTCTATAATAGGGAGACTGAAGATCCAAACTTTTACTAGGCATCCTATTAATCAAAAACGCAGCATGAGCAACGACATGAAACCAAAACTGACTAGGAAGATGAGCAGCAGTCAAAAAAGTAATAGAGGTTTCAATAAGATGTCTATTCTTCCTCTCAGCTAAACCATTTTGCTGAGGAGTGTATGGACAGGATAATTGATGTTCAATGCCCTTAGAAGCCAAATAATCAGTGAACAACCTACTAGTAGCAAACTCCCCTCCCCCATCACTTTGCAAACACTTCACAGAAGCAGCAAACTGAGTAACAAGCATGGCATGAAACCTAAGAAAAGTAGCATAAACTTCTGATTTATTATAAAGTGGATACAACCACATATAGCCAGTACACTCATCAACAAAGATCACATAAAACCGAAAGCCATCAATAGATTTCATCCTAGAGGGACCCCACACATCACTGTGAATTTTTTGAAATGGAATGGTAACTTTTACATGATCTGTAGGAAAAGGAAGTTTATGCATTTTGCCATGAAGACAATCAGAACACATGAAAAATTGAGAATCATCACAATAGGGAAGTTGAGCAGCTTTGAGCATATACTTCACCACTTCATTAGTTGGATGACCCAACCGTGATGCCACAAGGACGATTTAACCTGCTGACTAAGAAACGCAACTGACGGAGACACAAACCGCTGAGAATGTTGTATGGGAGAAGGTACAGAAACTGAAGATTGCAGAGACACTGGTATTGGATAAAGCCCATGGCTACTCTTGCCTTGGAGCAGAATTTTCTTGGTGAGCTTGTCCTATATATAAAATCCAGAAACATCAAAGATAATATTGCAATTGTTATCTTTACACAGTTGATGCACAGATAAGAGATTAGCCGTGAGATGTGGAACATGAAACACGGATGGAAAGTTAAAGAAGAAAGCTTAGCAGTTCCTAGATGACGGATTTGCAAACCTTCCCCTTTGCCAACAGTCACATTTTCAGCAGAATCACAAGCATCCACATTATTCAGATGATCGAGAATAGAGACCATGTGATGTGTAGCACCACTGTTAGCTATCCATACTTGATCAGGATTGTAGGTAGTCTGAGCAGTCATTGCAGTCAAGGATGAAAAAGGAGATTGACCTTGAAATGCATAATTGGAGCGGTGGTAACAATCCAAAACACCATGCCCCTTTTTACCACAAATTTGACACTCAATTATCATAGAAGAAGCAGTAGGATTATGAGAAGAATGGCGATGGTAACAATTAGCAGCAGTGTGCCCACTCTTACTGCAAATTTGACACTCTGGAACTGCAAATTTATTGGTAGAGAAACCATTGCAAAATCCAGCAAAGGAAGGACGGAATTGAGATGAACCAAATTTACCAGAACCAAAACCACCACGACCAGAATTGCCGTTGAAATTAGGACGAGGACTAGAAAACCGTGTGTTAGAGCCAGCATAGCCAACCGAACCCTGCACCGGTGTAGGAAGCAAGCCTTGACCAGAAGAAGGACCATAGCTTGCAGACCTAGGAACAGATTGTGAATTCAGAGCAGATTGAGAAGTAAACATTGCAGAATGTGTCACAACCCTGGCCTCAGCGGTTTGCTTAGCGACAAGAAGTTGAGCGCGGAAGTCTCAGAGAGAAAGTGAAGTATCCCGAGCAATTAACACCGTTTTGATGATATCATATTCCTGCGGCAAACCATTGAGAGCAGCGATGACAAAATCGTCATCAGAAATCTTCACACCAGCAGAATGCAATTGATCACGAATATGCTTCAAATGCAGAAGGAATCGTTCAATCGAGTCACCACCCTTCTGCGCTGTCTGCATTTCAGTGTTCAGGTGGTTGATACGTGCTCGAGAAACTGAAGCATAGCGATCTATAAGATTAAGCTAGGCCTCACGAGCAATGCGACTTCCAATGACATACTCAAGAGCTTCATCAGAGAAAGAAGCAATTAGCAGACTCAGGAGAGCTTTATCAGTACGCAGCTAGTCTTTGTAAGCAGCGGTGACTTCAAAGGTAACACCGTCCTCATCCAAAATCGCAAATTTCGGAGGAGCAAACACAGATCCATCAAGATATCCAAAGAGGTCGTAGCCTTGTAACACCGACTCAAGCTGATAGCTCCACTTCAGATAGTTGTCATCCCTCAAGCGTATGGTAAGCATGCCGAGAAGACTCTCAATCTTGAGAGAAGAGGTAGACGAAGAAGACGCCATGAAATTGAAGAACTCACAAGCAAAGAATTTAGGGTTTGAGAAGAATTTGGGGAAAGAAAAAAAAAAATGGATTTGGGGAAAATCGTGTAGAGAACAAGAACAGAGAACAAGAATAGAAAGAGAATGAGGAGAAATCACGCAGCAGAGAAGAGAAAGAAGATCAGGATCGAGTCCTAGCGACTGATACCATGTTAACAGTATAAGGGAGAAGAATTGAGATTGAAGGAAGAAGATGAATATTGAAGAAGAACTCAGGGAAGAAGAGAAAATTTACTTTCCTTGGTTTTCAATCGTATTCACAATTACAGAGAGATGTTGTTTTTATATCAGATGTTTAGCCGATAACTAATGCTTAACAAACTAACTAATTACAGCTGTGACATGTGAGCCATACGTGCCAACACTAACAAACTCTTAGCTAACTATTACTGTTATCAAATATTTCATGAACAATTGAGTATTTTATATTTTTAGGATTTATTATTATGCTTGAAAGATAATCATATATTTTTTTTGGTCGAATAAGAATTAGTATTTCAATTTAATTATACTGTATTATTTATAATATTTTTATATATTAAAATAATCTATCTCTTGAAAGGCTTATCCCACTGACCCTATGAGGTAACATTCTTGCATCTGCAACTATGACTATACAACTTTCTTCAAAAGCAGTGTAATGAATTTCCTGTTGAACCGAATAACGAATCATCCTCATTTTCATTTTCATCATTATCGGTGAATAAAGGAGATCTTAAACCACTTTTCTAAACCCAAGAATAAGAACAAAACTTTGAATATGCGGAGAGATGCATAGCACAATAATAACAATGGGAATCAAGAATAATATTTTATTTTTTTCATTTCGACGAAGTTATTCAAAATTTTCTAGAATCCTAGCATGCCCCACAAAGGAAAATGACTGAACTCAATTCAAAGTTGAGCATATATTCACCAAAAATAAAAAAGGAAAAAGAAGAAGATAGTAACCGTAGCAATTACTGGAGATTGGACCATGCTTTGGTGGGGCCTTTGCGTTGAAAAAGGGGATCCAAAAAGTGGACTAGAAACAGATTTGCAGAATTTTATTAACACACGAGGGCAAGCCAGCTGTAGACCAATAGCCTCCTTAGTTTGCTGTAGCCTCCTTTGCGTGTAGACTCTGGCAGAGACTGTTGCCCCTTGTTGATTTCCAACATCATCATCATCTCTCATTTTCGACCTCACATTTGTTTTCATGGATTCTTCTAACTTCAACACAAATAATAAGCAGAAAAATAAAAGTAAAAGCAAACAAAATTAGTAACAGTGAAACTGGAATGAAAGCAAACGCCTCCTCAAAGCAACAAGCATTTCCAAAATGGTAAGTTTGCCGTTGATGTTTGTTTATCTTTTGTCTCTCATCATCTTAATCGATATCATCTCTCTTCCTCAACCATCACTGGCCCTGTCCTCCTGTAACGGCGCATGCGCAACCCTCAACGACTGCGATGGTCAGCTCATCTGCATCAACCGCAAGTGCAACGACGACCCGGATGTTGGTACTCACATATGCAGTAAACCGCCGCCACCACCTCCCATGACCGCCGGAGGTTGCAATCCCTCGGG